GACACAGGAATTAGGTGTCAGTGGCAGTCCAGCTGTGGCCATACACATGCCTGACCAGAGGAGGTTTGCTCAGCCTTGAAAAATTTCTCTCACTGCACATCCAGTATTGGCTTCTGTTTAACCCTGAGACAGAGAGGGAAAAGCCTGAATTCTTCAAACCAGTCTATATTTAAATACATACAGAGCTCTAGATCACAAGCTGTGTGATACCTGTGTCCCAGCACAGGAGCAGGTGTCTCTCCATCTACCAGTATCCACATTTCTGCTAAGCCATGATTGTTGTATTGTCTTCTATCCCCCCTTTGATCCCACTCTGGAACATACTGGTCAGCTGGATGCCCAAAAAACCCTTTCACTCCAGCTTTCTGCATGGGGAAAGAAAACTGCAGTCATGTTTCCAGGAGATATTTCAGGACAGAATTCCCAATTTCCATTACAGGCTATGCCAGCGCAAGGGGCAGGAGGATGGGAACTGCTGCAAAACAGTGAAGAAAACACATCTTACAATCTGTGCTGAAGGTTTGGGGTTTTTTACCTAAAACACGCAGTGCCTTCTTTGTGAAATGCATTTAAAATAACTCGGGGAAGGGAGGCAGAGGGGAAGGGCGGGGACTTAATACTGAGTTTTAAACGAAGGGGCATGAGCAGATTTAGATCCGAGGGCAGGACCAGGTGCAGGCCAGGCCAAGGGTCACCCAAACGCGTCACCAGCTGTCCCTGCTGTCCCTCCAGATGGGAGATCGCGACCTGAGCGCGGCCTCTGAACCGCAGCGCTGCCGGAGCGGCTTCGCCCCCGCGGGAGCGGCACCGCAGCCCCCCGAGGGGTCACCGGGGCCGGGGGGGGCTCCCGACACACAGAGCGCACGTCCCGCACGGTCCTGCCGGTGGGGTCGGCCACGGGACACGGCGGGGACACTGCGAGGACAGGGCGGGGACACGGCGGGGTCACGGGAGGTGACACGGATGGGGGGGGTGGCGCTGCCGCGCCGGAGGGGTCGGTGCCGGAGCCGCCGCTCGTGCCGGTGGGACCCCCGCAGGCGAGACATCCCCAGCAGGGACACCATCCCACCGCAGGACACCCCCATGTCGCCAGAATAACCCCCCCTCCCCTGGTAGGACACCCCGCAGAGATCACACTCTCCCTCCCCCCCCACTCCTTCCCGGCAGGACATCCCTGGCCGGCAGGACCCCCGGCCCCTTCTCCCAGCAGGAGCCCCCGGTCGGGGGCAGCCCAAGGCTGGGGGTGTTTTGGGGAGGCTGGGTTTTTTTGGGGTTTTTTTTGGGGGGGGGGGGGGTGTCTGTGCGCGGGTCCCGCCATTGGCCCAAAGTAGGTCACAGCCCGCGCGCGCTCACGTGACAGCCCCGCGCGCTCCCCCCGCGCCGCGTGACCGGCGGGGTGGGGTGGGGGGGACACGCGTGTCCGTGTGTGTGTCCGTGTGTCTGTCCGTGTGTCCGTGTCCTCACCCCTGCCCAGCCCCAGCGGCTTTGCGGGGGTCGCGGGGTCGCTCCGTCCCCGTGAGCTCATCCCCGGGGAACGCTCCGGGAAAGCCCCCCCAGCGATGCCCGCGACCCGCTGGGCAGGGCACGGGGCTGGGGTGGAAACCAGCGAAATTCCAGCTGGAATCACCAAACCCCATCGTGCACTGGCGATGGGTGTCATGGGTGCTGTGCAGGGATGGGTGTCCGTGGGTGCTCAGAGCTGTGCAGGGATGAGTGTCTGTGGGTGCTCAGACTTTTACCAGGGACTCCCAATCCAACACCTGTCCAGGTGGGATGGCCCCAGGGCTGTGGTCACCTGGCAGTCCCCAGCCCACGCTGTCCGTATGGCACCAGAGATACCTCACAGCAGTGTCCCCAGCACACCTTGGTAGAAGGACCCCTGAAAAGTATAAAGGAATTTCAGTTTTAAAATTGTCTTCTCAAATTGTCTTTGCTAAAGAAAAGAATCGAATTAAAAAAAACCAAACCAAAACAAAAAAACCTCTTAATGGTACATTAACCGATGGGTAATTGGTTTGAAAAGAGTAGGATTTTTGGGCCATAAAAATGATCCCACTTCTGCAATGGAAACAACCAGGAGTGGTAACAGAAAAATGGGATGAGATTGGTTTTTTTTCTTAATAGGGAACCCATCAAGATAATTTCTATACAAAAACTAAGTAGCTGCATAGTCTTTCATAAGCCATAAAATAAACATTTCATGGGTGAATGCTCAGCTAAGAACACTTGCCAACAAAGAGTATTTTGGTTGGAAAATGGAGAAATTCAGGTAGTGTATCATTAGCTGTGTTTTGTCTCAGTTGGCCTTACCTGGACTGCAGCATGTAGGGTCAGCCAGTGGTCAAAATAGCACGGAGGAATTGTAGCCAGTAAAAACTAGTAACTAGTAGGTACAGACAATACCATGGTGTCCTGACAGTCTGGAATTTAGGCTACTTTGGAGGAAACCTGCCTGTGTGGCAAGGCTGGAGTTAAGTTACTGCTTCTGTTGTAGTGTGAAACTGAAAATAACAGCTCAGCACCCTGCTCAGGTACTCATTCTGTTCAGCTTTTCTGGCATGTTCATAAGTCAGGAAGAGTTGTTTTGGCTTTCTCACCCAGGAGATTCCCAACTCCTGGGTGTTGGGAATGCAGGGTCTGTAACTGTACCCAATGCTCAGTGTCTGGTTCTTCCTTTTATTCCACTCTTGCACTGATTTACACAAACTTTACCCCATTTTGTGTCAAGCAGTTGAGGCAGTGCAGGTTTCCTGTCGTTCTGTCCCATTGAAAATGTTTCTTTCTGCCTCGAGTTGCACCCTGAACTAGTCTTCTTACTGGTGTTTCCCAATATCCCCACTACATTTACGTCTTCTGTTCTCTTTACTCCTCTTCCCTGCTTATCATATCTGCTAAATGTATCTATTTCTCTTTATACAGCATAGAACAAACATTCTGTACCACATCTGCATATGGATTGGCAATCGCCCTAATCTTTATGTCACTCATCTGTACCTCTGTAATTAAAGGTTTCCAGTAACCAGCAATTTGGCTTTCTGAGGCAACGTTGGGATGTGTACAATCATTTAATAATCCAGTGCTTTTTTTTTTTTTCTTGGTTAGGTGACCCTTAAAAACTCCTGTGCTGATACTGTCACACTCCTGCTCCAGTCCTGAGCCATGTGGCATCTGTGGCATCCAGAGGTTCTCCACAAGCCCTGCTCAGCTGTGCCCTCAGTCTGTTCGTGTCACTCTGTCTCTGGTTCTGCAGGGCCCGATGGTCACAATCACCAGTCTTCAGGTTTTCGGTTGTGCCAGTGCAGTTTTATCGATTTGAATGTACTTTGGACTTTGATTAGTTGCTTGGTTTAGCCAGATCATTTGATGACACACTGGTCAGTGCACGTAATTATAGATCACGGAATCATGGAATATCCTTGGAATTCTTGGAAGGGACCCACAAGGATCATCGAGTCCAACTCCTGGCCCTGCACAGGACACCTCAACAATCCCACCATGCCCGAGAGCATTGTCCAAATGCTCTTTGAACTCTGGCTGTGACCACTGCCCTGTTCCCATGCCAAATCACCCTCTAGGGGAAGAACCCTTTCCTAATATCCAACCCAAACCTCCCCGACACAGCTCCAGCCATTTCCCTTGAGTCCTGTCACTGGTCAGACATAATAGATACGTAACTCACACTCAGGGCAGCTTTCTGTTCCTCAGGCAGCTTTTATTTCTAAATACTGGGCAGTTCATGCACATAATTTACCTTTATTTGCTTATAGGGAATACCTATGATTATTTATATTTGTTAACGGTAAAAGAACTGTCTTTTGAAGAAAGAGTGACAATTAAATATAGATGGTAAAGCTTTGAAAAATGGCATCCAAAAAAAGACAGGTGGGTGACCAGTTGACCATCGGGGTGCATCAGGAGGAGTGTGGCCAGCAGGTCAGGGAGGTGATGCTCCCCCTCTACTCAGCCCTGATGAGGTCACATCTGGAGTGCTGGGTCCAGTTTTGGGCTGCTCAGTACAAGAAAGATGAGGAGCTACTGGAGAGGGTCCTGTGGAGGCCACAGATATGATGACAGGTCTGGAGAATCTCTTTTGGGAGCAGAGACTATGGGAGCTGAGCCTGGTTAGTCTGGAGAAGATCTTATTAATGCACACAAATATCCCCAAGGCGGGTGTCAGAGGATGGTGCCAGACTCTTTTCAGTCGTGCCCAGCAACGGGACAAGGAGCAATGGCCATAAGCCAAAACACAAGAAGTTCCACCTCGGCATGAAGACAAACTACTTTCCATGGAGGGTGGCAGGGCCCTGGAAGAGCTGCCCAGGGAGGGTGTGGAGTCTCTTACTCTGGAGACATTCCAAACTCATCTGGACACATTCCTGTGTCACCTGCTCCAGGTGTCCCTGCCCTGGCAGGGAGTTGGGACTGGATGATCTCCTACCCAAAGGGTTCTGTGAGATGGCGGGGGCCAACCCTGCCTGCGGTGGTGACAGCGCTGCCACCCTGGGTAGCGGGTACCTGGGAGAGAGGCACTGGGAGCTGCGGGAGCCCCAACCAGCCCCGCAGCCCCCACGGCCACTTCCCTCAGACCCCGGTGGGAGCCCCGCACCCGCCGCCCACCCCTCACCCAGCGGGGTCCCACTCCCCGTCACGCTCGGCTGCACCGCGTGCGGGGGTCAAACGTGCGGGGCTCGTTAGCATCTCATTAACATCCCATTAACATGTCATTAACGCATTCCTCCCGGTTACCGGGGAGACACGGGGCGGGGGAAGAGCGGCTGAAGGGGGGTCAGCCCGAGGTTTGGGTGTCCCCCCCTTCACGTCCCTCACGGTGCTGGCCCCGCGCGTGCCGGGGCGTGGCCTCGCGGGGTGGGGAGGGGGCGTGGTCGCCCCCGGTGTGGGCGGGGCGCGCCCGGCCCGCCAATGGCGGGGCCGTTACCGGGCGTGACGTCAGCGGCGGCGGCGGCTGCACGTGCGCGCGGGGCGGGCGGGCGCAGAGCGGGCGGCGGGAGCGGCGGCGGCGGAGCTGCTGCTGCTGCTGCTGCTGCTGCGCGACGGAGGGGCCCGACCCGCAGCCCGGTCCCCGCAGCCCTGTCCCGCGGCGCCCTCGGCGGCCCCCATCGCCACCGGCCCCGCGCCCGGCTCTCCGCGGCGCAGGAAGAGGGGGAAGGAAGGGAAGGAACCGCTCGCCGCGCAGCTGCGCCCCCCTCCCCCCCCACACGCACCCCCTCCTCCTCCCGCCTCGCACCGACCATGTCGCGGCCGCTCCCGCTGAACCCCCCGTTCCTGCCGCCCACCTACGGCGTGCTGAAGTCGCTGCTGGAAAACCCGCTCAAGCTGCCGCTCGCTCACGAAGACGGTGAGGCTTCTCCCCCGGGGGGCAGCGATCGCTCCCTCGGACTCCCCCCCCCGCTTCTTGGGACCCCTCGGCGGCCGCGGCGCCGCTTTCCCTTCTTTTCCCAGCCCCCACCCTCGGGGATTAAGCCCCGGGACGGTTCGCTCTGCGGGGCCCGACCTAACGGGATGAGCGCGGAGGGCGCTCGGTGCCTCCTCGGGCGGTGTTGGATGGTGGGATTCCCCCCCCTCCCCGGTTCCATCCCAGACCCTCCGACAAACTCCGGCCCCGATTCCCCTCCGGGGTTAACGGGAGAAAGTTGCGGGTTCCGCGGGGAGCGGAGGCACAACCGCGTATTGCCAGGGATCCAAACCAGGGACCCTGGGGAAGGTCTTGCAGAGCCGTAAGAGCTTTCTTCCTGTATCCTCGGCTTCCCGAGTCCCATTCCCAGGGTTTCACCGGGGCTTGTTGCGTGAGGTTAAAAATAAAACACCGCGAGGGCTCGGTGGTTTTGACAGGAAGCTTTTATCAGTTGGGATTTCTTGCAAATCTCGTAGAGAAATCAGGCGATTCGCTTGCAAAAATGCGTATAGGAATCACTGGTGTTTCAAAAATGGGGAAGCCTTGGTTAAACTTTTTCTTTGCTTCTACCTTTGAGTTTTTCCTTGTCTCTTGTGCACATCAAAATCGTGTTCTGTCAAGCCACTGTATGTTGGTAACGTTAGGAAATGCTGAATTTCAGGGCTGCTTTCCTTGTGAAAGGACCAGCAAGATTGGGACTTTAATTTAGAAACATGCCAGGATAACAAATTCTGGGTATTTTAGTTTAAGACTGTTCCTTTTCAGTGGAATACAGTAACAGCTTCCAGTTTGCTGGGGTATTTATACTCACTTTTAAGTCTGTTGAGAACTTACTGAAGCTGACATTCAAAGCCATGCCTGCAGTGGAATTGTTAGCTAAAAATAGAGGGAAATCTCATAAAACATGGTTGAATCCAGCAAAGGTGCTCAGTTGGCTCAATTCTCTTATCAGGTAGAGTGAATCAGTTTTTCTGAAGGGAGTATTCCTTTCTTACCACCTGTGAGTGCAGCAGAAATAATGGAAATGTGGTAGCTAATATTTTAATTACTGAGCTCTTAAGTTTTTATTATGTTTTTTTTTTTTGTTGAAGCATTCAGTAAAGAAAAAGACAAAGAGAAGAAGTTAGATGATGACAGCAGCGGTACCACAGTCCCTCAGTCAGCTTTCTTGGGTCCAACATTATGGGACAAGACACTGCCATACGATGGAGACACTTTCCAGTTGGAATACATGGACCTGGAAGAATTCCTCTCAGAAAATGGCATTCCACCCAGCCCAAACCAGCACGAGCCTAGCCCACACCAGTCAGGTCTCCAGCAAGCTACCTCAGCATCACCTTCTGTCATGGACCTCAGCAGCAGGGCTTCTACTTCAGTCCATGCAGGCATGGTGTCGCAGAACTGCATGCAGAGCCCGGTCAGACCAGGTAAATCAGCCCTAAGAACTTCCCTGTGGGATTTGGCAGGAGCCCTCCTCCCCCTGTAAATCTGTGCCTCTCCCTGGGCACTTGGCAGGCAGCTCAGAGCCCATAGGATTCGAGTCACTCACACTCCAGAAAATAAAAATAATAGCTCAGTTATCGCTAACTTGCTCCACCAGGATTTTTGTTTAAAGTATATAAGGAAGCTGTGGGAATTCCCAGGAAACTTCTTTATTTGTTGAGAGCATTGCTGTTAGCATGTAAAAAGACCAGAGAATGGTGTAGATGCCATAGTGTTAAATGAGCAGGGCAGTGATTTTGGAGTTAAAGCTCCATGCTTCCTATTTGAAATTTTGGCCATAATCTTACTCTCTATTGAGCGAAGTAAAATTTGCCACAGGAACTGAATTTTGGAACTACATTATAATCTTGCTTAAATTGGCATAAACTGAGTGCAACTCTGACCTGAGTTCATAACTTGCATCTGTAGTCACCTCAAGCTTAAGAAAACATCATGGAGTCCAAGGTCTGGTTGTAATGTACAATTCCAACCCATTTGATGTCAGTGGAAGTTTTCTATTAGTTTATTAGCACTTGAGATCATCCCTTTAGAGACACAAGTATGAATCCAGAATAACTGCTCTGGCTTGACACCAGCATGGCTGAGATCATGGCCAGTGGAATAGTGTCAACATTTGAAGTTTGGAAAACATGAAGCTTTGCCTTTTTTCTTTAAAGAAAAATAATAAAAAAAATACCGCCGAGAGTGACTTATTTATTGTGCTCTTCTGCTCACACGAGGTGTGCTAGAGCAAAGTGTGCTCTTGGCAGCAGGAAACCACTCCTCTACTTCTGCTTGATCGTTTGCCATGCTCAGCGTGTGAAGTCATTGTCAGAATCATCTGATAAGGAGGCAAAATAAATAAATAGAAGGACAAAAGTTGTGGAGCAGGATGAAATAGAAAAGTCTGTTGCAAGGCTGCAATGTTCCTGTCCCGTTAAAAAGAAATAAAACACCCTCCAAAACCTCTCAAAGCTGTCAATAGACTCCTTCCCCCCCCACCTCCCCCCCGTCAGAAGTGTGTGTTTGGTCATGGATTTCATTTACTTTTACTTTATGTGAACTTGACTTTGCTTTGCATTTCAGTTTCAAGGCTTTTCATAGTTAACTAATAACTTATAAGAGTTTCCAAAGTTAAAATATATTTGGAGTTGGCAAGAGCAGGATATAAAACCTTTTGCTTTTTCTGAACCAGCTTTAAAAATAGTGCCTATATGCCCCACCGTTTTCTGTCGCATACACACACACAAAATTAAAAGCAGATAATCTGTCCTCATTCTCTTTTTTTTCAGAGGAGCCTGGTTACAAGCCAGGCTGTTAACGATCACCTGTCAGAATTTATTTGTAATCAGCTGTCTGTGTGACTTTTCAACTCATTGATTTTTTTGGCGTTTTTTCCTGAGCCATTTGCAGCTCAGGGTTACGAACTTGCCTTGCTGTGCACTTTTTTTTACTGTTGTAAAAGACGTCATGTCTCTTGGGATAGCATAAAACATCTAAATATGCAGATATTTTTCCCCCTCACCGTTTTTCCTTTGCAAGAATAGAATGTTTTGTTGAATCTGGTTTTTCTAAGAGGGAGCTCATTTCACTTCTTAAATAACGTTTCTTGCCCCCCATTACAGATAGCAACTGTGACTTAATTAACAGTAGTCTGGTTTATCATCAGGTCGTTGAAATTTTTATGTGCTGTCATGCGAAAATATTACTTTGACAATCAGCTTTGAAGAGAAGATCTTACAGTTTAGCATTTGAGCAAGTTTGAGAATATAACATATATTTAAAAAAAAAATTGAGTAAAAGTGAGCATTTAGGGTTGTCATAAAAATGCCAAGGCAGATGTGCTGTTTTGAAATATGGAGGTGAATGTTCAAATCATTACAATGGAGCCTTTTGGTTAATAGATCTTAAGACTTTTAAAACAGATTCTTTTTTGAACTACCACATGAAGAAAGAATTTTTAATTGCTGTGAGCTGCCATCCCAGTATGCATGGCTGTTGTGATTTGTATTGTTGTAATAAACCCAGGCAAAAATAGTAGAGAGTATACAATTTCAGTAAAAATCCATTTCATGTGATCTTACTACTTTTAGGAAAAACGGATTTTTTAGGTGATAGTAATTCTCCTAAAAATATTTCCCTGCTGTGTCTTCTGACTTTTGCCTGGCAGTGGCAGCCTGTTAGAGGGTGTGGAGCTGGAGGAAGGGTCAAACCTTCTGTGGTGCTCGTGTCCCTGCTTTAAATGGCTCTGTGGTTTTGGGCATCGGGGCGTCACGTGCAGGTGGTCAGAATTCCCAGCCTGGCTGTGCCATGTCCAGGGGGTGGGAATTCACCTGCACGTGGAACTCCAGGTGTGACTCAGGGACGTGCCTGGGGTGTCTGGGACGCGGATGGGCTGCGGAAGAGCAGCATAAGGAGATCGGATTTTGTGCGTGCGTTGAAACACAAGCCTTATCTGTCAGTAGAAGTGAGTGGCGTTGCCCCAACTTGTTTTATACCATCTCTGGAAACCAGGAAATCTGCGCTGGCATAGAGTGAGGAATGTCACCAGGCTCAGCAGAGAGGTGCTGACCTGGCTGTAGGTGTGACATTACCAAAATCTTCACTGATTTCCCCCTTAGAAAAACCTAACAACAAAATGGTTTTGTGTAAATTTAACTTAATTCTGTATTTCCAGCTCACATTGTCTGGTCTCTGGAGAAATGTTTAGGCTCACCAGTTTATCATCTGCAAAGGATAAAGGATGCACCCACTTCCCATACATTGCTGTTCAGGGAATGCACATATAGCAAATGCTGGGATTTTTTGATGAGGAGGGACACAGGGCAGTGACTGTTGCAAGACTGGAATAATTTATTTTTCACAATACTAATTTAATAATAAAAAATAGTATTTTGATTTATTTTAGCATTCCAGACCAACAGTCGTTGTCATGTGTAGACACATTTAAAACTTCTTTTTTGTCTTGATCTTGGATGCTGGTAGGTTGGTTTTCAGATTTTATGAAGCTTTTAAAGTAACCCATTACTGCAAACACATTTTTTGTGGTTCTTCATCTGGTGCGCACCTCGTGTTGTCTTTTGCCATGTTTTTTGGTGGAATGTAAATTTCTGTTTAACTGCAGAGTCCTTAAGGAAATTTGGAGTCATTTTTAGCTGTTTGTGTGTAAAGGGAAGTTCATATTTTGCAGGTAACTACATGGGTTGTTGTTTTTTCTTCTGGCTCTTTTCCCTGGCGGGGGTGATTGGGGCAGGTACTGTAAGGGGTTTAAACGCTGTGAATTACAGTTCAGAAGCATCAGTCTAAGTCTGGTGAAGGACCCTAATTAGGTTTTTGGGATTTTATGGTATAGATCTGAGTTCTGGGTTTGCCACCAAAGCCTTGGATGTGGGGCTGTGTCTTGAGGATAACCAGGTGTTGTTTCTGCCCCACTTCCAGAGGAGGGATGGGGCTGTCGGGTTCTGAGAGAGCTCCCTCCTGCCTTGTGTTCTGTGATGGTGGTTTTCAGTCTGTGTTCCCTGGATGGCTGGGTGCCTTCGACTACTTGCCAAGGATTATTTAAGGAAAGAAAAAAAGGAAAAAACAAGCTTTGTAATCCGCTGCAGAAATATAACTGTGTGCAATATCTGTGAGTTTTCACTTCCAGATAAAAAAAAAAAAAAGGAAAAAAAAATATTTTTGGGGCATGTTAATCGAAACGCTGAGAATTGTTTGCATGTGAGGTGCACTTACACCTCCCACCCCCCTCTAAGAACACAAAAGATTTTTATTAAATGTCGTGGTTTATTTATTCATATAGAGTGAGAGTATCCATTGCCTCTCGCTTCTTGCACAGACACTGAGCTGCAGTGACTGACACCAGGCGGGGCTGGGTGGGTTTTTTGGCGTTTTCTTGGAGCTCTTGTTTGTGACAGGCACAGCAGCCAACTGGGAGAGGTTTGCTCTTGCTCCATCCAACCTCCTGGCTGGATGCTGGGGATGACTTGGTGCAGGGGCAGCCCAAAAAGGGTGTGTGTGCAACACTCCCTGTATTGCAGCCTCCCTTCCCCTGTGTTTCTTAACGTGACCTCCTCCAGCACAGCCTTGCAGTGCGAAGGGCACCATTCCCGGCTTGCGTGCGGAATCCTCCCCTAAGCCTTAATCGCTGTTTACAAGCAGGAAGGTGTCACACACGAGCCCCCCTCTCCGAGAGGCGAAGGGCTCTCTACCTGCAGCACCCAGAGGAGCCGGGAATTTCCCGACCTTTGGTCTCCCACGTGCCGGTGGGAGTGACCGGTGTGGGGTTGGTACCAGCAGCTGCTCCGCACATTGAGCCTCACGTGAGGCTCGGGGTGCCTGCAGGACCATGTGCTCCAGGCATGGATCCCTGCCCTGTGCCAGCCGGCTCAGCGCGGCTCTGCCCCTGCCATCCCCACCAGCCCGTGCCCATGGCGCACCGAGATGGAAGAGCTTCTTCGCCCTGCGCTGCCACAGCAAAGGAGGCTCAACCCGCAGATGAGCCTCACACGCTCTCCGGATCAAAGGGAGATGCAAAATATATTCAGGCAAATATTAAAAATAGCCTGTCACATGATAACAGGGGGGGAAAAAGTGCTGAACGCACAAGGCTCGTTAGTGCTGGAAGCAAGAACACTGTGTCTCCTTCAAGGGAGCTAATTTTAATATTCACTGTTAAATGTTGATTATCGGTTAAATAATTGCTCGACTGCGTGAAAAGACTTGAAGTTAATTCAGAGTTCAAACAGTAAACAGCGTGAAATAATCTTGGGTGTTACGCTGTACTTTCAAATATCCCCGGCCTGACTCTCCAGGTCTCACTGGGAATGGTGAATTCTACACAGGTAGAGCTCCTTAGGCAAGTAAGGGCTGTCCACAGATAGGAAGAGGATACACACAGGGAACACCTAAGGTTGTTTGTTTGTTGTTTGGTTTTTTGGAGTTTTTT